AAAAACCAGTTTGTGTGAAAACTGCATTACAGGTTTCAACAGGATACATGGTGAGCAATGACCTTTTCAAGTGAAATGCTGATTGCAAAATAGTCACCGCGGTCAAATCGTATGGTGGAACATCCATTAAGTTCATCTCTAGTCAGACTTCCTAAGAATTGCTTTTTGTGCGTCTGGACTGCTACCTTTTGACCTTGGTCTTCAGCCAGTTCTGCTCCACAACCTTTACACTGTGCTAACTACTCTCTTTTCCCACCTGACCCTCATTAGCAGCAAGTTTCTTCCTGTTTTGTAAGAGAAAAAGGAAATCTGCTCATCCAGTCTGATGCAGCCTGTGGTACTCATTGCCAATAAAACAGCCTAGCTGACATGCAACAGGGGAGTTGAAAAAGGCCAGGAATGAACACTGAAGAAAATAAAGCAACAGAAAATAAGAAAAATAACAGAACCCTGAAAATTATATTGTGGGGCTACTCTAGGCCTCTCATCCTTCATCTTGGCTGACTCCATAAGAGTCATTCAAAGACGTCCAAAATGAAGTGCTGTGTTCAGCTCGAGGTACCAATAGCTTGTGGACATTGACTTAACGTTGCCAAAACCGGCAGACTCCTACAGCTTGCAAAAATGGAAAGACCCACAAACACAGAACAGCTGTCAAGCCTGCAAATTCCCCAGGCCAAGAGCTCCGTTCCTCCTTCCTCACTGCGCCACGAAGGACAAACCCCATGTTACCTGCTCATTGCCTGTTCATCAACACAGTTATTTCAGTGAGTGTTATGTGGAAGCTGAAGCTGAAGCATCGCAGAAGATATGAATTACAGCAATGACATGAGCTTCATTAGCAGTCCTGAACAGCTCAGTGTTTCTGGTTGCATAGTTTGAAAGCATCAAAAACCCACAGAAGTAAAGAGAATGATTTTGTAAAGTTATGTATGTTTAGCAGGTAAGGATAAAGTGCAAAATATATGGGAAAAAATGCCATGGTACTCAGCTGGATCTGCTAGCTTACAGGGCAGAATGAACTGCAGGAAGAATGTACCTGACTGTATGGAACAAGGAAGCACAGAGCTGAGGGGCACTCAGAGACAGCCACACGCCAGCAAAAAGATGGGCTGGGGTCTGTGCACTGGGCAGGGCCATTGTGAACCTGCCCAGCCTCACGTTCCTGTGGGTGCCTGCAGCCCAGAGCCAGTTCCCCTGCACATCCTCGGCTCCTGCCACCCTCACGGACATGGCCAGCTTTCAGCAACCTCCTGCAGCATCTTCCCCAAAGGCAGCAGATACAATTCCCCTTCTTTTCTGCAAGAGAATTACCACTAAAAAGAGATTCGGAGGAAAATCTGCTTAGAGCCTGGTCTCCTTAAAATCTTCAGGAAGGTTTAAATTTCCATAAAGACAAGGAGTAGGAAGTGAGATGAAACCTTGCAAACTTTATATGACAAAAGTGGCAGTGGACCAAAAGTACTTGCTCCACCCTGTTTGCCTGTGTCCCTTCCCACCAGGGGGACTGCAAATCCTTAGGGCCAGTTCTTGATCTTCACCAAGTGACTCAGCAGTCGGTATCTGCCAGGGCAAGGATCTGCTGTCTTACAGCATTCTCTGCAAGAAGAATACAAATGAAGAGCTGCAGTAATGCTGAGCCCTATTTCTGCCTCCATTAGGAAGAAGCATTACCTCAGTAGTTTCACCAGTGGAGCATAGCAAAGCATCATGACTCATCGGTCATTTTCAAGGTGTTCAATTGCCAGCCTAAGATGTTTAATTAATTAAATAGAAGTGTTTAATTAAACAATTAGATTGTTTAACTAACCCTGCAATGAAAAATAGCTTAGTCTCAGTTTTGTAGCTGACAGGTGTCTAGGATTCTAATTCTAATGTCATTGTGGATCAGGCCACGCAGAGAGAAAATAGCTGAGACTGAAATTAAGTAATATTTTAATTTTTCAGCCTTTCAGATGCCCATTCAACAAAATGGCCAGATTTCTAGAAATTGGCATGGGATGGTTCCTTTCCTGGGCCCAGTAACAATACTGACTGTAAGAGCAATGGCTTCTATTTCACTGTCGGTGTAAGGTGCAGCATCCCAAAGACAACAGAGTTTGGTGACCTTTCTACCTTCTTGCACTGGGACCTTCTCAGAGAAGAATCTGTTGCCCAAGTGTGAAGTCACTTGCACTGCTGTAGAGGAGCTCTTGTGTGGTAACTTTGACTGTGCACCATCTCAGGCAGGTGCTCGGAACCACAATGGAGACAGCCTTTGTGCACTCTGTTGGCTTCTCCATTCCTGTGAGGTGTCAGGTTGGCAAACTGCAACTCTCTGACACTGTTGAGTGTGGTTCTATCTTGACAGGACTGAGGAAACAATTTTGTTGCTCAGAGAGCTGCTTAGCACGCAGTGCAGCAGGTGATACCTCAGGAGGAACATTTCCCTCTTTATCGATATCTGTATAGGTACAGAATGTATCTACATATCTAAATACAGATTTACCATCCACACTGTCTAATCATGTTGACAAGACAAGGCAGAATAGTTTTAAACTAAAAGAGGGGAGATTCAGGTTAGATGTTATGGGAAATTTTTCACTGAAAGAGTGGCGAGGCACTGGCACAGGCTGCCCAAAGAGGTTGTGGGTGCCCCATTCCTGCAGGCACTCAAGGCCAGGTTGGATGCAGCCCTGGGCTGCCTCAGCTGGAGGGTGGCAGCCCAGTCCATGTCAGGAGATTGGAACTGGATGATCCCTGAGGTCTCTTCCAAACCAAGCCGTTTTATGATTCTGTGACTCTATGATTCTATGACTTTATGTCCATTCTTATGTCCATGGCTTTGAGACAGTTTTAGGATCAGTTTTGTGAGTTTATCCTCCAGAGTTGCTGGAACACAGCTTCCAAATGCTGTTCAAGCTTGCAGCACAGGAGCTGAAGGTTTGTGGGTATCACCATGGATGTGCAGACAAACTGAGACTTCACAGAATCAGAGAACTGTAGGATTTGAAGGGACCTATGGAAACCATTGAGTCCAACTCCCTGCTAAAGACAGTTCCCTACAGCAGATTGAATAGGAAAGCATCCAGTCAGGTCTTGAATACGTCAAGGGAAGGAAACACCATTGCCTCTCTGGGCAGTCTGTTCCAGTGCTGCATCACTCTGACAAGTATTTCTTTGTGCTTGTGTGGAATTTCCATTAGCCACCAAAAACAATCTGCCTCCATCACCTTGATTTCCACACTTAGATATTTATATCTAGTTGTGAAATTGTACCCAGAACATGGTGCTCGGTGGCTCAGCATCAGATGAAGATCAGAGATGATTGGCATCCAGCGTGAGTCAGTACTGGGACCGGTGCTGTAGGCTGAATATGAGGAAGTCATATTTTATACGGGTGGTGAGGCACTGGCCCAGGTTGCCCAGAGAGGTGGTGAATGCCTCACCTCTGGAGGCATTTAAGATCAGGCTGGATGAGGCTCTGAGCATCCTTGCCTAGTTGTAGGTGTCCCTGCTCACTGCAGGGGAGTTGGACAAGATAGCCTTTAAGGGTCTCTTCCAACTCAAATAATTCTGTGATTCTATAATAAAAGCACCAATATAGAACACTCCTCTCGTTTAAGATGGAAACTTAAACAAGATGGGTATAGGAGAGTTCAAATTGAGCAAGCTTGACTGTAAGCTACAGTACCACAAAGGCAAAACATTACTGCTCATTACAAAATATATGCAATTCAGAGGTACATGTGGAGGAGTTTTTCTTGTAATGAAGACTGAAAAATTAACTTGACATTAGGTTAGGGTGCATTCTCATTTCTAATTTCTGGATAAACTTTACTATTATTATTATTATTCAGTAGGAAATAGCTTAGCAACTAGCACACAGTGGTGAATCCCTTAGATAAACACTTGTAAACAGTGTTGTCCATGTATCCACACACGCTGAAATGCTGAGCAGCCTGGATGTGAACTGTGGACATCTGTCCTTCTGGTGTCTGCAGGCAAAGATGGTGACAAGCCCAGGAATACTTTGAACTAACCCACCTCCTGCCTGGGGTGAGCACTGAGGGCCTTTGACCACATGGTGGTACAGGCCAGACACACCTGGCAGAGCACCATAGAGATAAGCAGGTAGTTAACACCTGCCTTCCGAGTTACATCATATAAAGATATATGGAAAGATATCAGAGGCTCAAGGCACCTCAGTGGAATGTAAATGGCAGATTTCTGCATCCGAAGCATTCTGGAGATTCAGTGTATTCAAGTACTTCTGTGAATTGCTGTTGTGCACAATGATCCTGAGATATTAATCTGTGATGTCCTCATACCAGATGCTAACAAGAGCATAATAATCAGTGGGAAGGTTATTTCCTTGTCGGAATAACTGAGCTGAGAGCATACAGTAAGAGAAACCACATGCAAGCATGAGCTTCAGGAAACTATGTGCAAACATGAATTCTGAATACCCATATCAGAAAATATAATTAGGTGACAGGAAATACGACCTGCTGGGATTTTGAGAAGGCACTGAAGGGCGGGAAGCAATTGTCTTAATTCACATGATTTATCATATCAGCCATAGGTTACCTGGCTGTCTCTCTGACCTTATCTGCATCTGAACAGTGCTTTGTGTTCCTTTTTTTGTTGTCGTCGTTCTTTTTAAGACAGATAGATACAGAAGTTGTTGTTCACCAACCAGCAAAGTGTGTAGCCACTGTTCATTGTGATGAATGCAGCAGTTCAGTAAGAACTCCAGAGGTAGCAGTGGCAAAAAACTGGTGCAGGAAGTTTGTTTGCTTCCCATCAGTAAGTTTCAGATTACAAATTAATCTCGAAAGAGATTATGAGTATCTTGCAGAGTTAATGAGTATCTTAAAATTGTCTGTTTCTCTTAATTGTTCAAAGGCCAGTCAGTGCTGAGGTGTATAAAATACTGCTGCACGAAGATGAGAAGCACAGCTGAGACAGTCAGCAAACAAACAGCGGGTGGGAGCTTTGTGCTGTGTCTGCTGGGAAGCATGAAAAAAGTTGTTTTTTCCCTCATTCGTCTTTCTGTGCTCTTACTCAGTTTCTCCATCATTTGCCTGGGAATCCTTTGCATCTACACACGTTCTTCTGCATGCAGATGCGGGAATAGCATGTTGGTTGCTTACTGCCTGTTAGCTCTGGGACTCCTGCTCCTTGTGACTGGCGTTTTCTGGAGCATGGTCCACGAAGCCATGAAATATGGGGGCCTCAGCAACATCTTCACGAGAAACCCTGGCCTTACAGAGCTCCGTGTCAGCACCATAGACAGGTATGTGCTACAGAACTGCTGCTGATGAATGTCAAGGGAGAGATGCTTAGTTTTAAACATACTGTGAGAATAGAAACGCAATGCAAAAGCCAAAAGCAATACAGAACAGCAAGTAAGGTAAAGTATATCCCTGAAAACATGGCAGGTTGCACAGAAAGCTCCAAATCCATTCATAGAGGGAGCAGGTACAGCCACACTGACAGCAATGGAGATCCTGCCAAAGGATCACTCAGTAGTTGCACTGCAATGGACCGCCCGGGTTGTGTCCTGCAGGCTGTGCTCCCATGTCACTATTCTAGCCACTCTGCTCAAGGAAGTATGCAGAGAGTTACAGCTCCCTATATGGTCCTAGCTAAAGTATTATTGCATAATTGTCCCCACTATTTAGGAGCAAAGTCTGATGCTCAGAGAGATGTTTTCTTACACTGACTGGTGCTGGGCCTGGCAGTGTTTTTACAGGGTTACTGGATACAGATTACTTTTCACAGACTGTTATGGAAACCACACCAGAAACACTGGCAATGAGTATTCTGAAAACACTCTGTGTACAACATTCAGCAAATTTTGGTTGGATAAGCAGGAATATGCGATGTGTAATTTAAAACTGTGGAAAATAATGATTATTGTAGTACTAAATAAATAAGCTACTTCAGGCAGCGATTTCTCTGTTTTTCCAAATCAAACTTATCTCTTGCACTTGCTGAAATACACCCATGTGTGTTTGCATGCCTTACATGGGAACTCTCTCATGTCTGAATTTCTTATTTTAATTTAAAAAGCTTGTGAAGAAAGACACAGGTAGTGAGCCCAGCAATGCCAGTTCCTTTGCACTTATGTATTGCACGTCTTGAACCTTGCCTGAGTTTCCATGTAAAGCTTAAGCCTCAACTAAACTTTGGAAACACAGCAGATAGCTCCTCACCAAGCTCTCAGAGACAATTCACGTTTCACCATGATGCACTTCATTTTGGTTTGCTGCTTTTCTTTCAGGCCTGATTTCTACCCGCCATCCTATGAAGACAGCACTGATCCTGAGAAGCAGACGTTCCCACTACCCGTGGCCTCTGCACCAAAAGAGCAAGAAGTCATCAACATTCCACCACCGCTGTACAGCGAGAGCAGCACAGAGTCTGTCAGTGAGACTAACGAGCCAGAGCAGCCCCCACCATATGAACTATCTTGCCAGGTCTTGAGCCCCGTGAGGGAGTCAGATGCTTGTGCACCCTCACAGGACAGTGTTTGCTGATAGCAGACAGGCAGACAAGGGACCTCAGACAGAGCACTGGACAGCCAGGCAGGGATGCATGTCAATGCTGCCTGGTCCTGCATCACCCAGGGCAGAGCCACCCGGCAAAAGCACTGTCTGTTTTCATGTTTGAGTGGAGCTGGAGGGGGAATGCAGAAAGGTGCTCAGCATTTCAAAGAAGAAGGAGGCTCTCAGGTCTACAGGGTTTGCTTAAGGAAATGCCACCCAATGTGATCACAGTGCTTATTCACATGGAAAAAATAGTCACTTCTGTGTAACACTACCAGGGGACTTAGAGAAAACAAGCTGTCGGCTATGTCAGGAGAGCATAAGTAGGGTGCATCGAGAGGTGCACCCTGCTGTTACTGCGCAGCCTGCAGGAGGCACTCGCTGGAGGCTGGTGCTTACACAGTGGGTAAGAGACAACCCCTGCCCTCCCACTAGGTGTAAGCACTGATGCTCTGACAGCCTGTCCATTACAGTGTTGGGTGTAACTGCAAATCCTTCTGAAAGAAATGTAATAGTAAGCAGCTCTGAGGAAACAGAAATCAGTGGGAAATCATCTGCCAGCTTCATTGCAACTACAGCTTTAAAACTCAATGCTAAAGCAATTCTACCCAAGAGGCACCAGGGGCTTTGTTACTTAATCACTGTTGTCTGATATCTTCAGTCAGGTAAGGAAATATGCATGCAAGAAAGTTACCTTACAAAATCAGATCCATTAGGATTTGCACGAAATAGGAAAGAAAAAAAAATCCTACTGCTTAATATCGTGTCTTTTGAATTGGACATTTAAAAACCTAACAAGCTGTTTTTTTCATAAAAAGTACTACTTCTTTTTTCTGCTTCCTGTACCACAGAAATACTCTTGAAATGCAAATGCAAACAAATGTTGTATCTCAGAATAGTCAGTGTCACTGACAATAGGAGTCATTTCTTATGCTATGAGAAAGATGCTAATGATGGGAAAATCTTCTGAGAGCAGCCCTGCTGAGAAGAACCTGGGGGCTCTGGTAGATGAAAAACATGAGACAGCAGTGAGTGTTTGCAGCCCAGAAGGCCAGTGGTATCCTGGGCTGCATCCTGGGCAAGCAGGGAGAGGGAGGTGATTGTCCCCCTCTGCTCTGCACATGTGAGGCCCCATCTGGAGTACTGTGTCCAGGCCTGAGGCACCCAGTATAGGAAAGATGTGGAACTGTTGGAGAGGGTCCAGAGGAGGGCCACAAAAATGACCTGAGTGCAGTAGCAGCTCTCCTGTACAGACAGGCTGGGAGAACTGTGCTTGTTCAGTTTGGAGAAAAGAAGACTATGCGGATACCACCTTATAGCCTTTCAGTATTTAAAGGAAGATAATAAACAGGAGGGAAATCCTGTTTAACATTTTACAATGATAGGACAAAGGGGGAATGGTTTTAAACAAAAGGAAAGGAGATTTGGATTAGATGTAAGGGGGAAGTTTTTCACTGAGAGAGTGGTGAGGTGCTGGCACAGGCTGCCCAGAGAGGCTGTGGATGCCCCATCCCTGGAGGTGTTTAAGGCCAGGCTGGACGGGGCCCTGGCAGTCGGAGCTGGTACTTGATCTAGCAGCTGGCAGCCCTGCCTGTGGCAGGAGGCTTAGAACTTAATGATCCATTAAGTCCCTTACAACACAAACAATTCTATGATTTTAAGAAGCTTCATGCTGTTACCAATCCTAAATGTCTTGTGTCTCACAGGGAGTTTTGGCTGAAAGTCCTCATTTGTGGCTTTACAACAATAGCTGACTTGGGAAACCTACTAATTCATCATCTTTTGTCTAGAATTTGTAACATTTATAGAAACTGAGTATTTTTGTAGCATGTATGGTTGAAACTACTTGTTTTATTTTGAAGTACTAGCACTTGGTAATTTACCAATAAAAATTTGTGAATAAATTTCGTATTTAAAACCAATGCCATGTATTCACTTGTATGATACAAGGTGCCCGCGGTTAAAGGAAAGTACACAGTACAAAACCTTAGTAGTTACTACACTTCCTAACTGCTAAACAGACAATCCTATTAGGTGTACAACCTGCTCAGGCCCCTCTCCAAGCTCTCCAAAAGTAGAGCTTTTAGATCTGCTCTTATTTAAGCAGCTGCTTTTTGAATTGCTCTCATTTAAGAGCTGTGAGGAATAAAAATGGGACTCGTAGTTAAAGTACTGGAAAGAGGACAAGCTTGGACTCATCCTTTGTTACTTGCTTCTTTCCTTCCTTCTGTAAAATCACAGAAGAAAACTTGCATCCAGGCCACTGTAGTCAATAATTTCAGATAACAAGAAATATGTCACAGAATCACAGGATCCATGATTGGAAGGGCAGGGATTGGAAGGGACCTCTGGAGATCACATAGTGCAACGCCATGCTAAGGCAGCTTCCCTACAGTAGGTTGGGCAAGGCGGCATTCAAGAGGGTTTTGAGTATCTCCAGAGAGACTCCACAACCTATCCGGGCACCTTGCTCCAGTGCTCTGTCACTATCGAAGTAAAGTTCTTTCCTGTTTTCAGATGGAACTTCCTGTGCTCCAGCTTGTGCCCATTGCCCCTCGTTCTGTCACTGGGCATTGCTCAAAAGACCATGGCCCCATCCACTTGGCATCCACCCTCTAAATATTTGAAAGCATTGATAAGATCCCCTCTAACTCTTCCCTTCCCCAGGCTGAACACTCCATGCCTTCAGCCTCTCCTTGTAAGGGAGATTATCCAGGTCCCTAATCACATCTACAGACCTCAGCTGGACTCTCCAGTAGTCCTCAAGCTTTCTTGAACTAGGGAGAACAGAAGTGAACAGCCAGCACTGTGCCCTCGCAGCCCAGAAAGACAACTGCATCCTGGGCCACATCAAAAGAAGCGTGGCCAGTAAGTCAAGGGAGGTGATCCTGCCTCTCTACTCTGCACTGTTGAGATGTAGAGTCCTCAGGACAGAAGAAGCATAGACCTGTTAGAGAATGTCCAGAGAAGGGTGACAAAAATGATCCAAGGGATGGAACGCCTTTCCTGTGAGGACAGGCTGAGAGAGCTGAGGCTGTTCAGCCTGGAGAAGAGAAGGCTCTGGGGAGATCTGAGAGCTGCCTTTTAAGTATCTAAAGGGTACTGCAGGAAAGAAGGGGACAGACTCTCTATTAGGGTCTGTGGTGATAAGGCAAGGGAAAATAGTTTCAAACTAAAAGATTTAGATTGGATATAAGGAAGAAGTTTGTGGGTTTTTTTTCAATAAAGATGATGAGGCAATGGAACAGGTTGCTCAGAGAGGTTGTGGATACCCCGTCCCTGGAGACACCGAAGGTCAGACGGGTCAGGACTCTAAGCACCTGATTTAGCTGTGGATGTCCCTGTTCATTGCAGGGGAGTTGGTCTAGGTAACTTTTAATGGTCCCTTCCAACTTTAACAATTCTGTGATTGTATGTTTCTTTGACCATTGTCCTGATGAGCTAGACTGTCCCTCTCAGCCCCAGTGATATGTGATCTTGTAATTGTTGTGAGCACTGCTGCCATCCAAGCTGTCTGTGAACACAATGTGCTTCTCATGCTGCCACTAACTCTCTTTTAGAAGGACACTTCTCCAGAGGGAAAATGTAGTAACCATATGGCTGTGGTAGGAGGCAATTTCCTCCTATTTTATGAGTTAGCTCAAACCACATGATGCTGGAGAGCAGATGCAAGTAGTTTGCATAGTAAAAACCATGCTCCCTCCTTGAGACTACTCAAAACAATCTGCTGCTTCTAATCACATGGGCATTATGCCCTCATTGTTTTCAATAATTCAGTCTCAATTATTGTGCTTTTGTAAACTGCTTAAGTGAGTTGTCAGTCATCATTCCTTATTGCTCCAAAATGGGCCTTACAGCCTCTAGTATAGACTATAATTCTTCTTAAATCATCACCACAGTTAATATATTGTCAATAAGCAGATGAGACTATAGACAGTTTTCTTTAATACAGTATATAAATGCATCTACACTTTTTAGACTATGCTCCCTTTATTTCCTTTATCTCTCTCTTTCCATTTCTCAAACCTGTTTGCTAATTAGTGACGGATACTGAAAAATATCATGTTCTAAGAGAGAAAATTACAAATAAATGCTATCACAATCACAGCTGAACAACATAGGAACCTTACAATTTCCAGATTTGATAAAACTGTGAACCAACAATAGCAGCAGAGGGGTCCCATCTCTGAGTGCCTCAGCTGTTTACAGTCAATCAAGAAGACAGTATAACTGTATGAAAAGCAGTTTTATTAGGAAGCTTGAAAGTGCAGTGTGTCTTGCCAACAACACAGAAATATAGCATTTCTCTTTATTGTGTACTCAGTGTCATAGAATTTATTTGACAGAAGTGTTGAAAGAAATCAAAAACAATTTCTTTTGCTGCAATGTTATATAAATTGCATTAAATTTGACAGCCACAATGAAATGAAACACACTGCGAAAAGACAGGTGGAACAAAGCCACCTTAAGAAATCATACAAGTGACCACACTGTTCCCAAGGAAGCAAAGCTTTCAAACAAGTCACATGCATAAAGTCTTTGAGTTCTTATGCAGAGCACAGTACTGTAGCTAGAACTGCAGAATCATTTCACAAACAGAAAAATGCTGATGTCTATATCCCCAGATGTCCTTCTCAGATTTATACCAGGTCATCTTTTAACTCTTGGCACTCCCTAACTTTCTACTTCATGATCCACTGTAAGAAAAGAACTAACAAAAGCTGAGTCCAGCTGCTAAATGGTACAACTTATTTCTATGTAATTCATTAGTGTTTGTTTACATTTCCTCTTCACTACACACCTCACTAGCCATTTTGTGGTAAGTGGAACATGATTATTGCAAAGACTTTAAGAACTTCCATCATAACTTCTTTCTGTAAAATTGCTGAACTTGAAGCAATTGCCTTTCAAACATAATAAGCACCAGCATCATCTTCTGGCATAAGGAATATTGCAAAAGACAACCAAGATTCTATACCCAACATATTGCT